AGAGAGAGAGAGAGAGAGAGAGAGAGAGAGAGAGAGAGAGAGAGAGAAACCTATCTGAGCTGTCTCTATCCACCCTGATTTTCTCTATGCAGCTGGTGATCAGGTTCTAAAGCAGCCAGGTCTCTAGAAGGGGACATTCCTACCTTAGGCTACATTGGGAGGTCATGTCTCCCTTTTGCCCTCTTCCAGCAAAGAAGAAACCTACCTGTTCAGCCTCTTTGTACCATCAGCAAGTATGGGGAAGTGGTGTGATACAGAGCTATGGGGTCTTCAAGAGAGGTGCTCCAGGATGACTAGAGGCCAATACCTTTGAAGACACGCTAGGGTACAGCTGGATTTAGTAAATCCACTTCTAATGGAGGGACGGGAGTCCCCATCACATGGCAACTTAACCAGAATGGCAGCTGTACTGTTGTTCTACATAGAGCTGCCTTCTTGGAGGACTCTGTTTTCTGGAGGTTGTTCACTCTGCCTTGCCAGAGCTGCAACAATATCTCAATACCAGGATGCCAAATGGTTGCAATACCAATAAATTAGTAGCAACTGCCTTGACTCTGAAAAGCCCCTGGTATCAATTTTTATTGCTAGAGCACAGTTAGACCCCGGTGGACGCAGAAGTGAGATCGTGCTCCAGGCGTTTACTTTCTTTGTCCTCAGCAAGCAACCACTATTGGGTGAGCACACTGGACTCATCCGCGTAGGTGGGTAAAATATGACTGTCTGGGTAGCCCCCTCTACACACACACACACACACACACACACACACACACGCTGGCATCCATTAGCACTATCTGTATGGGCCTTGGGAAACACAGAAGGCCCAGAAGTTGCTCATTTCCAGGTGCACTCAGGGTAAGAAAGGCTTAAAAGCAAGCACAGGTCAGATTCATCTCCACTGTCTGTCTGCACTTCCAGCTCCTGTTTATGTTACAGCATCTCCCGCGGGCCCCCTCCACTGCCTTATGTCACTGCAGAGATGTGGTTGGTGTACAACTCTCCCTGGCATGGAAATATGTGTTCATCTTTTCAGGCAGTGGATAAAGCTCCTTGATATTTCTCCAAGACTCAAAGCAGGGTAGAGGAAATCAGGACACCAGGGTGGAGTGGGGAAGAGATAAACACATAATTCCCCTTTCCCGGGCTGAGGACTCTTGTCATTGCCCCAGGAAAGAGCAGTCTCATTCAGATGTGGGGAGCGCCCAAGGACTTTGTAAACACCAGCTTCACAGAAGAAACAAGCTCTAGTTTTCTACAGTCTGTTTTTGCCCTCGAGATCACTGCAGCCATCCCCACCCCGTGCCAGCATAGCTGACCTTGTTCGTCCTTGTTGCAGTTCTCTATCTGTAAAATGGGAGCAGCAGCCCAACACTCTTGAGGAGTGTAGGAGAAATAGGGATCGACGCTCAGTGTCCGGCAACCAGCAGGATACCTGCGAACTTGGAGTGGAGATGTAGACAACGCTGCTGGAATCCAAGAGTGATCGCCGGTCCTGCAAGCTCCAGCTCAGGGCCTACTATCCCCAGAATTCCTCCGAAGATGGCGAGGAGGGGGCAACTCCAAGCCTCCTGCAGCTGTTGCAGCCACATCGTTCCCGGCAGGTGTCAAGGCCTCGGCCTGCTCCGCTAGGGGGGCTGATCTTCGGCAAAGACTGACAATACCAGGAGCCCAACAGCAAGCCTCAATCTCTGCACATCCATCCAATCGGTGCGGGTTGCGGGGCGCGTCTTTCTACCAATGGGAAAATTCGCGGTTGGATGGGGCGGGGAAGAGGCCTCGTCTCCGGCCAGGTCCGCCTTGCGCACGGGCTGCGGGAGGGGTGGGAGGGCTAGCTGGCTGGCTGCTCCGGGTAGGGGAGGAGGAAGGTTCCTCCCCAACCCCTCACCCGCACGAGTTGTGGCCCCCGGAGCCGCTTTCGGTGCAGGGCGCTGGAGAGGCCGCTCCCCGCGCACCGGGGGACCTGGGGACGCCCGTCTTGGGGGCGGAGGCCGCGCTGCCGAGCCACCCACGCCGTGCGCCAGGTGAGCTCGGCCGGGTGGGCGGGGTCCGGCTGTGGGCCTGGGGCTGGACACTGGGGTCCGGGCCAGGACTTGGGGGTGGGTCCTGGGGGAGCGAGCTGGATATAGCGTCTAGACTGAGATGCGGACTCAGATAGGGACAGGGTCCTGGGCTCGGACTTTAGCTCTGGGTGGGGTTCGGAAGCTGGTTCTGCTCACCGGCGCTCTAGCCTACTACGGGTCGCCAGAGACCCAGGTCGCTGGGGGCGGGTCCCTTTGTGCATGACCTCAGGGCCTTGGCCAACCTGGCCTCGGCGCCAGCTTCGTGCCGCCAGGCTGTACACGACCCAGCTCCCACAGCCTTGCCCTCTGCGAGCCACTGCAGCGCCTGCAAGCAGGGACCCGACGGCTATGGAAACTTTACAGGGACTCAGGGGCGGCGAGGCTGGGGAACTTCCTGGGTTGGCACGGCCAGCTGTTGGTGAGCGTTGGTGAGCGCAGGGTCTTCCATATCCTCTGCACCTATGCTCCTAAGGCCTCACAAAAAAGAGAGGAGGCGCTGCTGGTAATCCCTTGTCTGGTGTCCCGCTTGAATCTTCTCCCTACATACCCCTACATTCCTCAGTGGGGCACCAGCCCTGGAGAATATGCAAGTCTGGAGTTGCTCTGCGCAGGAGGCCTGGATACCATGACTTACCCCTTTTAATTTTTAAATAATTGAATGTTACTTATAGTTAATATTTAACTGTATTTGTTTCAGTGTCAGGTATCAGTGTCTAGGGTACTAGGGGACTCGTCTTCTCTGTAGATTCAGACATTTAGAAATGAAAAGAAAGAAAATACTCCTGTTTGTGTTAACTTTTAGGCTAGTCTCTTAATGTAGGCTAACAATCCAAAATGCAAAACACATGCTTACTTTTATAAAGCCAGGGGATGGAGCCATGCCCAAACTGTCTTTGGGAACATCTTCCCTAAGTAGGACCAGCTATGCACTGAGTGCCTGCAGTTCCACAGTGGGCTCCCCAGCCCTCTACCTCTCCTCTGGTCCAGGACCCAGGCTGTCTATCCAGAGTTAAGTGTTGCCGGCTCTGGGAAGTGTCTCAGAATCTGTGAGCCTTGGTTAATGACATATATCAGGACTGTTGAAGTTGGTCCCTGTGTTCTGAGGTTATGTTTCCTCCAGAAGCAGGTGGTCCAGACATATTAATTATCTGGAGAGGCTTGGACCTACAATTTTGTGTCATCTGAGATATTTGGTGCTTCTTGCTGTCTAGGACCACCTTCCATTTGGGGTCCAAGAGCCCTTCACATAAGTAGACAGGGAATACTCAGCTTGATGACAGAGGTGCTTCTGAGCATGGCCGAGCCAGCACCCACCTGGGACCTTGGCCACGCCAGTGCCCACCTGGGGCCTCCTAGATGTGTCATCCCCAGCACTTGTCTGCACAGATGCTGGTGACCATGGCTCTCGATATGTCCCAGCTGCTACACCCCTCCCACCCTCAGTCTGTGCTCCCTTCACTCATTTTCTCTCACATCCCTCCCCCCAGGTCACCTCTTCTAGTCCTAGGCACCTTCTGAATAGCCTCCATAGGAGTAGGGCTATATACCCTGTCCTTCTTGTGCAACACAAGGATTCAGGCTGAGTTCCCTTCACCCTAGACTAGCCTGGAATTTGTCAACACAGGCCTAGCTGGAAAGCCAGCGCTCTGTGTCTTCTTGGCTGATTGTCAAGATGCACAGTTGGGGAGGAGTCAGAGATTTCTTGAGCTCTGAGGGAGACTTGAGGGCCACATAGTCATGGGATGGTGACCTAGACCCTGAAGGGCACTGATAGACAGAAATGGTTTTGCAGGGGAGTCCAGACACAAGCTGTGTCCATATGTATGTGTTCATAGCAGCAGTTGGTATGTTCTTGTGGGTCAGGAGGGATGATTTGGCTGTAGCAGGTACTAGTCATTGAGCAGAATGAATTTTCCCTGCCTGGTGGCTGAAGGGCTCTCTGAATCTGTGCCCATGTTGATCGCTGGAAGGGCACGTTCCCAGCTGCTTGCATTTTCAATCCACACTTACAGAACAGAGCCCAAGGAGACCCAAGCAAGACTACAACCTGCTGAGTTCACTACAGTCAGTACCGAGCAAGCTCTTAGGCAGGCCATCCTGAACCATGGTGGGCGTATGTGACCCTAAGTTACCTGCTTCGCATGCTCAGTCTGGCTTGACTCAGCTTGTACCTGTGGAAACTCTACACATAGTCAGCCTTTGCTAGCCCATAGCTTGCTGGTCTGGCGTTTAAGATTGGGCTAGGCTTGTACCCCAGTCTTAAGCCCTGTGGTTAGCGCAGTGGCACTATACCACAGCTGCAGACCTTCCCCAGAGTCTGAGTAGGTCTGTGTGGTGTAGGCAGGTGGTGGAGAAGCCCAGTATGTGTGCAGGGAAGCAGATTATGGCAAAGATAGGCTCAGACCATCCTCACGGGAGAAATGGAGAATGGCAAAGCACTCAGTGGTCTTTGGTCAGGTAGGCGACCCCAGAGCCTGTAGACCAGTTCAGCAGGATGTTCAAAGGGTTTCAAACTGGCTATCCCCTGTCATGAGTCCCATCACTAGATCTGCCTTTGTCTCATGGCCCTGTCCAGTCTCTGGTCATTTCCTGTGTGTCCCGTGATTCAAGGCTCCCAGCAGGCTGGCTGGCCATAGTTACTCCACCATGACCACTCCTGTACATGCCCCTGTGATGAGAACACTCCTAGAAAGACACCCATTCCTCTGTTGACCTCTTTCACTCTGCCTCCTGTAGCCCCTCTGCCTCTCCACCTTTCTCCTACCTTCTCTCCTGGAGTCATATTATTGCAGGGGTCGTATTATTGTAGCCATGTCATTTCCTGATGGGTGAGGGAAAACCTGGGGATAGGAAGACTTGAGTTCAAATCCTGCCTGGAGTAGCTCTGGTTTTCACATTTCAAAATGAGGAATTCTACATACCTGGGACAGTTAGTGGGAGTCAGATGTTGGCTCATAACTCATGTGGCCAAGGCTGTGGCGTGTGGTAAGTCCTGGTGAGAGACTTTTTGAAGATTGGGGCTGATAACAAAGTCACATGGTTCTCTGTGAGACAAAAATCTAGGTTAACATTTGAGTTAAAAGCAAAGTTGTCCCAGAAATGTCATGCTTAGAGCAGGCCTCATTCCCCAGCCGGGGGCCTTGTCTGCCTGGGGAAGGGTTAGTGGACAACTCTATCCAACTGCTCGTCCAGTATCAGCCAGTCCTTCTGGCTTAGCATGTGCCTGGCTCCCCCTTGCCTCTGGTGCTGTGAGCTGACCCTCACCCACGTGTTCCATGATCCCACTCTAATATTTAATCAGCTCTCCACTTTCTACTTGAAGCCTCTCTACCGAACGGTCTGGCAGCCAGAGCCTGGCCTGAATATGGCCACCAGAGGGCCTCAGGGACTGCCAGCAAATCTGGCTCTGAGTACTAACCCTGCACAACTCTCTACTGTAACCCCTCCACCCCCACCCCACCCCTTCACCCCGCCACACACACACATACAATCTAGGTTAGATGGAATTTTTTTTTAGGAATTATTTATTTATTTATTTCATGTGAGTACACTATAGCAGTCTTCAGACACACCAGAAGAAGGCATCAGATCTTATTACAGATGGTTGTGAGCTACCATGTGGTTGCTGGGAATTAAACTCAGGACCTTTGGAAGAGCAGTCAGTGCTCTTAACCACTAAGCCATTTCTCCAGCCCTAGATGGAATTCTTACCCAAAAGCTTGATAGGCTGTTGTGAGACACAGAGACCACCTCTAGGACCAAGTAGATCGAGTCCATGGAGGAAGATTGGGCAGAGGCACAGAAGAGTCTGGAAACTGACCAGAAAGAGAAGAACTCCTATTACTTATAGTGCACCAGAGATACTTCCTTCTTTGCCCATCCATCCCTGACTGTTTTTTTCATGCAGGTTTTCATTTTTATGACATAAACACTCTGGCAGTGTCCCTAGGCTCAGATATACCAAGAGGGAATGTGTCCCTAGACTATCTACAGAGACAAGAAGCAGTGGTTCCTTAGAGCCATGGTGGAACTGTGTGCTGAGCAGACACCATTGCTGTCTCACTTCCATATACTATGAGCAGTCCACACTGCAGGACCAAGTCCTAAAACTTGCCTGCCACCAATGTCATAGGACCTGGGAGCCAGGGTTGGAGCTACCTTTGGAGAACTTTGGGAGAGGCAGATGTCATCCCACAGGGAAGGTATGGGCGGCATGTCTGGGAGACCCTCTTTGGAGCCCCAAGACCCTAATGATGCAGTCTTCTGGGAGGAGAAAGAGGGCGCTATCAGTCCATAACTCTGCCTCTCAACCTCATCAGAAGGGAAGTTGACCTGATACAAACTACAGTCCCAGTTGTATGTAGAGACAGGAAAGTACATACGATGTGTGGTTGAGTCAGGAGTACCACAGGGCAACCTTAGGATCAGGGATGCCAGTGTCATGCTTGGGGGATAGTTTGGCCTGTATGCCTATATCCAGAAGGAATTGATTCTAGGGGAGCTTCACATAGTATCCTCTGGTTTCTCTACAGGAACAGAGTCCACAAGATGGGTATTAGGACATGCTGAGATCCCCTGAAATAGGTAAGTTACCTGTGTTGCTCAG